ATTTTTCTCAGGCTTTGGGAAATTCTTAGTTTGAATTATTTTGAACTTCAATAACTAAAAATGTGGGCTAGAGAAAGCATTTTCCTATAATCCAGCCATTTTTTTCCTCTAGTAATTAAGTGAGGGAATTCATAATGAATGTGCCTTGAAATCTCTAATTAACCTTTCCTGTTTCCCAAATCACACTTCACTTGGCAAGAAACTTTAAGTGGACAAAAAGCTGTGGAGAAAATTCTTTTAAAAAGAAAAAATATTTGGGACCTTTTTTATATGAAATAAAATACTTAAGGCAAACTTTTAAAATATCTTTCACAGGTTTCCTATAAAGGCCATTTGGCAGGAACAGGTATCAGTGACGATTTAGGATTAAATAACAATATAAACCACAATATCCTAGAGAATAAGGGATATCTTTTTTTTTTTTTTAAACAGGGAAAAAATCAACATACCTGATAATGAGAAAGAAACTTTTCCATTCATTGGTTGTCATTAGAAAGACAAACATGAAATAAACTTCAGTTAATGAAGGGGCACAAACATGGCTTAGCGTCCTTTTTGCATGACAGTGTATCAACTTTTCTCTATCTGCTACCTCCTGTGGCTTATGACAAGTCAATGATAGAGACACTGTCTGCCTATTACCTTCTCAAAATGCAAGTACTTTCTGAGACAAATTTAATTACCTTTTCTTTAATGCTGCTATGAGCTGAGACCTGAAACCAGTTACAAGGTCTTAGACCGAGTCTTAAGTCTTTAATGTCACATATGGGTGGTCATGATGAATATCTGAATGTGCAGTTTTCAAGAAGGTAAAAGAATCTCTAACATATGGAAGCTTTATATATCACCTTCAGACTTACACTCCTCGGTAAGATTCAGATTGACTCAAAGTGCGTTTTCTTTTAGGTCACTTGAGTGTGTTCCTGAACAGGCTGTGGCGAGCCAGGCTCTCTTGCACCAAGAGTTAATTTGCACAGGTAAGGAAAATCTTCTGTACAGTGTACTGCCAGGACAAGGATTTACAATGAAAGCATGTATTCCACAACTTGTACCATAGGGAAATACCTATGACAATACTTTTTTATAAAAAAAAAAATTTTTTTTTTTTCTCATTCTTATGCTCTGGAAAACATAGTCATGACATGACTCATTAAGCAAACTAAAGAGGTATAATGGAGATGGCTTTCCATTTACCTAATTTAATCCATTATTAGGAAGATAATAGCTAAAACCTCAGCCTTGTAATATTTGAATTATAAATGGTGTCATTCACATGTGGTCATCTAAGAACTCAGAACGACTCCAGTAAATGAGGACTTTGTTTTCAAAAGGATTTATCTTTACTTTGTTTTTCCTTCTCTCCTTCCTCAAAAAAAAAAACCCAACCCCAAAAAAAAGAAAATAAAAAGAACAAGGAAGGGAGTAGAATACAAGTCATATCTATCATTCCCTGAGGCAGTTAATGGCTGAGGTATAAAATATCAATTAACCATGAAAAATAAGTGTCTACAGTCAGTTTTGAATTCTATGTTTGGGTCAGTCTCTGAACACAGCGAAGAACTAGTTTTAACTTGGGTTCAATGTTCTGGGAATTTTCTGATTAGGGCCATTCACAAAAACTACACCAGAAAGTGCATCGATTTCTTGGGGTTTCACATCTAACACTGAGAGCTCTGTGACTGTTAATTCTAGCAACAAAAAAGGAAATGAGCTGTGACAAGAACTCATGGAAAAATACGGTCCCTTCTGGAATTTAGGTAAAGAGTATTTAGAGAGGGAAGCACTTCAGAAGACATATTAAGTGATAGCTGGATAGGCCTTTTTCAGACTTCTCCCAGCTTCAGAGAAGGCTTTTCAAGGAATGACGCAAAATTTCATTTCCGTCATTTCACATATTTATATCACAATTTAGGGTTTTCAAAGAATGTAATTTTGGTAATAGAAACTTAATTTTAGTCCTTTTAATTTAATCTTTCCCATGGCATCTTAAAGATTCGGTAATGTACTTTTCCTATTTACTTGGTGTACAGTTAAGGATTTCCTGGGTTTCTTGTTGTTTTTCTGTTGTGTTATTTTTTTTTTTTCTGGCAATGATAGTATTTGTAAAGCTGACCTGTTTGCTGTGGCAGCTGATGGAGAGTTGCATCATTTCTTAACTATTCCTTGATGAAACCTATGTAAGTGCAGTAAACATGCCTTTACATTTTGATGACCGAAACTTGAAGATGGAACATTTCTGTTTTGCTGAATGTTAGCCTGTGCAGGCTATCCCACAAGATGGTCTAAGAGCAAGGTGTTATTTGAGCAGAGAACTGTGTCTACCATTAATGGGGCATGTGTGCACGTACTTAGTTACTGGCTGGGGCTTCTTGGAGCAAGGGGAGGATTGCTGGGTTTTATTTTCTTTGAGATGAAATGCTTTGTGCATGCTGTCCAGACAGCAACAACCACTCTTCATGAGACTGGACGGGAACAACCTGTTCTTTGGTGTTACACGGAGACAGGGCCTAGCTGCACTTGAATTCCTGGGATGAGGGGGAAGAAGGTCCTTCTGCTTGTGACGTATCAGAAACAAGCTTACTTCTTCCCTAATTTAGAAAAGATTTGCTGGTTATTGACTTTGTATATGAAATCTGAGTGGTCAACTTTGTTAGGAGTAAGGAAACTTTGGACAGATTTGCAACATGCAAAGCTTAAACAAATGGCCTTCAATTTTCAGTTTACTTCAAACCAAAATAAAAACCAAACAAGGTTGGAAAACTTTTGGCAAAAATGTAAATACATTAAAAAAACATTTACATCGTGGTTCTGTAGAGACTGACTTGCAAAACTTTTCTCTCTGTAACGTCTTATAAACATGATTCTGATATTTGTAGTAATACAGGTGTCGAGAGGGAAATAGCATTGTTCTCAGAGGACCCTGAGTCGTTTTGATGTAGATCAAAAAATAAAACCTAGTTAAATAAACTTTGTGTAAAGAAGATACATGCTATAAGCAGCATAACAGGAATTACATTCTGTTTTAAAAACAGTATCTAGGAACCTGGCAGATGAGTACAGAGGGTTCATCTGGGTATTAATCAACTGTACAGGACAATGCAGAGAGGTGATTATGTGAGGGACTAATAACACAGGCAGATTTAATGAAGTGAACACAAACAGTAGTTAACTCTTACAAGAAAAGAAGATACTTCCATTTAGGGTACGAAGGAGGTAATAAGCTCTAGATACACTCCCTTCAGAACCATGTTAGTTTATTCATTTGAAAATCAAATGTAAAGCAGTTCAGTAGACCCCTCGAGCTCAGATCACACCCTGATTAAGAAACAGCTGCATCTCTCTGACCTGGTAATTTGTGTCTTTTAAGCTAAATATTTGGGTTTCCCTTCCCAGGCAGATGCTCTGAATGCTTGTTTAACCTTTCCTATTAGTATTAATAATGTGTTTTATTCACAAAAACAAGGAGTGTCGACAGATGCTATAGATTTGCAGAGTTAGTCGTGCATGTCAACTAAGCTTTGCATAGCCAATTTGTTTGTGTAATTTTAGCAGTGCATTATAACAAATGTTATTTTGATCAATTTATCAGTTGATATATCTGATATGTATCAACAGCAGCTGAGCGCATCCATTACAGTAGCCGTTATCCTTTCTGTATGACTGCCTTTCTTTCAATACTAAAATTTGTCTTCTATATTATATTAGCTGGGAAGAGCATGAAACAAAATAAACTAGTAAAATCATTAGGAGTATACTGGTCAGAGTTTAGTTCTCACATCAGTCCAAATTAGGAGAACCTCTCTAGTTAAAAACTGTGGACGTTCAAACTTGAAAGTGGGATGAAAATTAGATAGTTAAGATAAATGATTGAAGGTACACTTACTCATCTGTTAAGGACAATTTGCTGGATCCAGTTCAGAGCTAGTAGTATTCCTGGATTTCAAGCAGAGGCTCGGATGCTGCCAAACCCCTTGAAGGCAAAGCCTTTGGCCACAAAGTAGACGTATTTTGTCCCCAAGTGCTAGAGTTCTGGTCTAGGCTGCCACCTAATATTTCTCAATTATTGTCATCATCATGGTCTTTAATCAAATTAGAAGTCTCTGATATGGTAATAAAATGAGACATAGGTTATATCCAAGGCACACTAAGCACTGCTTTGGTTTCTGTTCTCCCCCTGCAATGTTTAATAACTACAGACAGGTTAAATTATAAGACCACATCTTACCGTAAACTTGATAGTTGCTCTGAGCCAGCATTATTAGAAGGATGTACAGTAATATCCTTTTTATCAACATGACTAGAGATGCCTTCATTCTCTGAGCATGGTAGAAAGAAGAGGTTCCCGTGGGTTTAAAAAGTGCAGTTCAGATGGCGTCTTGCATCCTGTTAGGTTTACCCGGCGTATATGTCTGAGCTGATGCCCTTTTTGAGTTCTTCTGTCAAGACAGTGCAGAAAGGGGCGGGGAAGCAATGTATCCGCAAAAATCTCATGGGTAACAAAGTTGTCTTTTTTTTGTGTGTGTGTGGTTGAAATGCGCTTCATCATTTCACATCACTTTAGAACTCCTGTGTGATTCAAGGCAGAACATCTTTCAGCTTTCTCTGGCTCCCCTTACAGTGTAACAAACATAGCTGCAGATTTTATTTTTTTGAAGGATGCTCCTGCAATTGAGGTTTTGGTTTTACAAGCAGCGATCTAGCAGAGAGAAGGGATGCACAACAGTATTTTTAACTTGTTCAGTCCTTGCAAATTACTCCAACATTAACAAATTAAGAAGCTAAACAAATTCACTTTTCATGAGCTGGTAGATGTCAGAAACACATATCGATAATCTTAATTTGCATTAGATTAATTTACAATAATCTGCACTGTAAGAGATGATTGCTTCTGCTGTTTAGTCTTAGCATCCTCATAATATAAGGCCAAGGATTTGGATTTTGTGAGTTCTTTTACAGCATGTCCTTGACACCTTTTCCCCTAAATACTTCTAAAATGCCTGAACCATTTAGCTGAACCTTCCAAAAAATTCTGTCGATTCAGAGTTTCTTCATAAAGTTAGAACCAAACTAAGGTTGAACAGGAACTTTGTATATAGCAATTACCACTTCTCCTTGTAATGCAAATACAACCACAAATAGAAACTAGAGAAGAAATTAATGCAGTTATGAAATCTGATGTTAAAATACAGAGGTTCAGACTTAATATTAGGAAACATTCTTTACCAGGAGGGTAGTCAAATGCTGGAACAGGCTTCCTAAAGAAGTGGTCAATGCCCCAAGCCTGTCAGTGTTTAAGAGGCATTTGGACAATGCCCTTAAAAACAAGCTCTAACTTGTGGTCAGGCAGTTGGACCCAATGATCGTTGTAGGTGCCTTCCAACTGAACTATTCTGTGCTAAATATTTCAACTTTTCTAGACAAAATATATGCATATTATATGCTAACAAAAATCTAAATTATCAGGATTTTTTCAAAATAATATTTTGGAGAAAATAATTGAACAGCTTTCCAAAATGTGATTGGAAGTGTGTGGCTAAGTACGTGATGATCAGGAGAATCATACTGATGTTTATGAGAAACTGAAATAGCCTTAAAAAAAACTACAATCCAGGCTAAATGGAAAATATTTATGAAAGAAAACTCCTTGAGTACAACTGCACACAGCATGCTTCCACTTGAGACAAAATACTAGTACTGTAGATTGCATTTCTGTATAGTGAAGACATCTAGTGGTTGAACCCGTAGCTATCTTAGATAGTAAAATTGGTCATTAAGGGGGGTGTTTCCCGGGAGTGTTAATTTCTACTTCTGTTGAGTTATCCAAAGTTTATGCTAGGAGTGAAATATTAGTACTTAATTAGTACTTCATCTTTGTTCTATCAGAAAAGCTGGTTTGGGCTGAGTCCTTTGCTACTGACCCAAGCTTCTTAATAAGAGAAGTTTTTGTCTGTTCTCTACAGTGTTTTGAGATTGGTTTTCTAGGTGGATAATTGCTTTTGGTAACTTTGTGGAAGTATTCTGAACTGTAAGACAGGTACTGTCATACATTAGTATTTTGGGAGAGGTGAGGTGGGTCAGAGTGGCAGGAAGGAGTATGCGTTTCCTGTACCGCATGTTGTATGTGGATTGTGAGGATTCTTTACTTTGTGTTTTCAATAGTAATTATCTTGGACACTGATCTGTGGTTTTGGAGCCCTTTTCTTAAAAAAGCTTTGGCACATGTGACTTCTACTACCACTGCTGACACTTTGTTATTTGCTTTTTCTCCTTTCTACTTGAGTAGGGTTGTGGGTGGGTTGGTTTGTTTGTTTTTGTGGGGTATTTTGATAATCTGCTGAAAGATGGCAAAGAATCTGAATTTTTCATGTTTTCTTGTTAAGATTTTCTTACTTCCTTCAGACATTCCTGGGACCTGCTTTATTTTTGTGATATTATTAAGTTATAAATGAGATCTTTTAGATCTCCAAATGGTAACTTTTTTTTTTGAGAAAATCAGTCCCTGAATTTGAGACACTAAAATATTCAAGTTTTGCTTTAAAAGCATATTTCAAAGCATAGTAAATGCTTAGTGAATGTAAAATAACTATTTATCAAAGGAATGAGAGTCCTAATCTAAAACTGCATAACTATGAGAGGGAGGAGCATATGCATTTAATTCAAGATGAGATATCATTTGAAAATGGCAGAAGATGTCACTAGGTGGCACTGATTTCCACTAGCTGCAATAACTCATAACTTCTTTGCTGTATGCAAATCAGATCTCAGCTGAATCCTAACAGATACCAAGTATTTAAGAAACTAAGAAAATTGAAGGCAATTCAAACACAATGATTATCACAGTGCTGTGTGTGTTGGATACTATTTTCAGGAAGAAGCTCAAAAAATATGGAGCGAGATTCAGATACTCTTAAACACCCGAGGATTGCTATTAATAGAAACTTTATTTACTTGATCCAGTCCACTTTGTCATGTCTGCTGCTTCTTTGCTGAACACAAGCAGAAAGAAGCCCAACTACGTGACGTTCCTTCTGTTCTACCTCAGTTTTTCTTCTGACAAGACAAGGTTGTGTTTTGGGGTTGTGTTTTCACTGTTTGCAAGCGGTTAGGCATTGGCCTCCAACCACAAAGAGACAGACGGCATTTAGATAGTGGACTCCAGTAAGTCTGCTGAAAATTATCTTCACAACACTACATGAAGAAGTTTTAGTACCTTCAAGGAACAACAACTTAGAGTCTCCCATCCAGCTCCTCGCCTGTCACTGCTGATCACGCAGCCTGTAGTGGCACGTGCTGCCGCATGAGCTGTGGCTGGCCCCTGCAGCCTGTCCTCAAGCCTTACTACCATGGCTCCCTGTTAAAGGAGGGCTCAGTTACGTAGTTTCTATGCAAGTTCTTTCCTTTTTCCACAATAGGAGATCCTCTGCACCTCCCTGCCTTTTCCTAAGCAATTTCAGTTTAATGAGATGAGCTAAACTTTGTTAAATCAACAAACACGTCTTGCACCAGGTTCTAAAGTGCAGGCTGAGCATGGGCCTGGACACTCTCACAAGGGGGGGTCAATTCATTCAATATAAAACTGGTTAAGAATCTACTCGGGGGTTTGCTGTATATAAAATACTTCCCTAAGCGTAAGCATGGGTGTTCTAGTTATTGGATTCATCTTATGGTAATGACAGGCTTCAGAAATAAGGGGAGGGAGGACGCAATTTAAAGCTAATTACAAAAGAATTAAGGTAAGGAGGTCTCATCTACTGCAGTGAAATCTAATACTGAATTTGGGAGCTATTCTGTACAGTGAAGGACAGATTAAAAAAACACTTGAGGCAAACCAATATACAAATCCCCCCCAAGAACCTCTAAAGCTCCTAATTATTTTTGCTCCAGCTTTGAACAGAACTGCTGAATGATACCCTCTTTCCGCTGCATTGCTGTAAGCTACTCTATTGCTTAGAAGAAAATGGACGATTTCCTTATTTTCCTCAGGGACACAATAGTTCTTACTGAACAGAAGGATCAGATAGGAGGAAAAAATTAAAGTTTCTGTGGAAGGACAGCAGAAACTTCCTAATGAATGTGTACTTGTATTTTAGTGTGTTCATGGAGTATATATAACATGAGTACTGGTCGCTTCACTGCATTTAAGTAGCCCCCTGCTTCTACTTCCCCTTCCTGTGCACTAGACAAGAGAAAACACGGAGAGAGCCAAGTACTTAGATACGTCTAAAACATGAATAAATTTAAATTGCTTCTGCTTGTTTGACTCAGCTGAACACAGGATTTGCGTACCAACTGAAACCAGTAATCTTCCTTGTGTCTTCCTTCAGGTCTAGCAGAAATCTAGCAAAATAGATGTTATTTTGCAAGAATAAATCTTCAAATGTTTCTGGCTTCTGAAACCTTAAGTGAGCGTGGAGTTGGGGAAACTCAAAAGCTAAACACAAAGGGACTCAAATACCTATTCAGCAGTTATTTATCATTTCTGTTTTATACTTAATCTTCTATTTTATAGAATAGAGCTGCATTAAGTATACTTAAAATAAAACATTTAGTTTCAGAGGCAACTCTGGTCTTGAGGTTGCCCTCTGTCAAGCCTGAGTGACAGTTGCAGTAGCTCTCTGTATCCTATCTCAGAGCCTGCACCTTGTGCTTTTACTTGTGAGACGTGCTATCTGCTTTTGAATACGAAAGAGGTGGCCTCTACCACCAGAAGACCCACAAATACCAAACCCCTTGTAGAAAGAGAAAAGTGGTGGGATGGGCAAAAAAAATAAATCCTTACCTGACTTAAGCAGAACTGCCAGATTGTCTGTCCTTTGGTCTCTGCTGTCCAGCCTATGTAAATGACAAATGTCAAACCTAATTATCAGTATAAATGTAGCCTAAAAGCAGTTATGTATACTTCATTTTACTGCATCTTGGATATGGGTTAAACACTGTGATTCACTTAGGAAGGTAAAATGTCATTGTAAGAATTTAGCATGGCCTAATTACTAAACTTTAAATATATACTTCACCTGATTCTGCATCAGTTTCCACATAAATCCTTACTGATATGTTGATTTTACAAGTATACAGATGCTGTTTCAAAGAGGAATTGTCCACACAAGAAAACTTTACAAAAGGGTATGTTTATTTCTATTCTGCTTTTCCATTTGGTATAAAGGCAACAAAAAGCAACTTGATTTTAATGTGCTGTGACCTGAAAATGAAAGTAATGATTAATAACTTCATGAGTCAAGAGGCTGCACGAGTTTATCACTGATCCATTGTGAGATGTCAAGTCAGGTAAGAATTCAGGAAAAGGAACATGTAA